TCTTCCCTTCCTCTTTTTTCATGATTTACAAACCCTAATAAAACTTCTATAATCTCCCACCGTCGTGAAGTTTTTTGTTTGAAAAGCTTTAAAGATCCCCACTGCCTACAGAAAAAAATATAAACTCAAACCATAGTCAGAGTCCAAAATAATCTGGTGTCAATCTATGTTTCTGATCTTGTTATTGGGTAGGACAGATTTTTTTTTCATATTAAGGTTGCTTGATCATGAGATAATCAAAGTCTGATATACTGTACAGAACAGGGAATGAATGCAGGAAACAGGTAGGCTGTGAAGGGGAGTTCAAAGGGAGAAAGCAGCCTGGAGTTTGACAAGTGCAGGCCTGCTAACTTGCCCCCAAGCAGCTTGAAAGAAGGCTGACTGATGATAAATATGTGAATTGTAAAGAGAAAACTGGCAAAAGCAGGATTTTTCTGTTTTAATCATTCCACAATCAACTCAGGCCCGAGACTTCAACTTTCGAGAATTAGGGTACATCCCAGCGGTAATGATTCACTACTGTGATTCATAAAATGGCAGAAAATGAAGAAGTGCAAGGATATGCCCAGCCCGAGGGCTCTCTGCGGAACCACAGCAAGAACTTAGATGAAGTTCAGTAAGCAAGCAACATAATCCTTATGGAAAAGAAGTATTAATGCGTAACAAGATGAGAGAACTTGTGACCGTGAAGAGTGCCCCCAATTTTCACAGGTCTCTTACCAAAGACACTGAGAACAGTCAACAATCACGAAAGCATAGCAGAAGCAGGTAGACAGGAACGTTTCCCAAGTTCATGCTTAAATTGAGACATTTCCCTCGGCTGCTGTTGCCAAGCTTTCCAATTACAATTTTGCGATCTTTCCCAGAACCAGTGGTATTTTAAATATTAAATGGTGGTATTAAAAACCAGAATTGCCAAAGGAGGAATGATACAAAACACATCGGTGATACATGGGAATAATCTCAAAGTAATGTTTAAGTAAACTTGAACGCCCTTTACCTTTACGGGAATCTCTCACGGATCACAAAACGGAACTGAAGAGGGACAGTGGTCCTAGGCGGCGGCTAACTGAGCATCGCCTTGCTAAGCTAAACACCTTCCCCCTCTCACTCCAGGAAAAAAGTTGAGTCCTCATTCTTCCCTGAAATCACTAAACACAGAAAGTGGGCTCCTATCTATTAAGTGCTGTCCTGATTATAATCTCTCAACCTCTATCCTTTCAATTGGTGAGGTATGTTATTATTATTTTTAAAAGAATTTACTTATTTGAGAGAGTGAGAGAGTGTAAGTGGGGGGGAGGGGCATGGGGAGCAGAGGGACAAGCAGGATCCTCGCTGAGCAGGGAGCCAGATGCCCGGCTCGATCCCAGGACCCTGGGATCATGACCTGAGCTGAAGGCAGACGCTTCACCGACTGAGCCACTCTGGTGCCCTAATCAGTGATGTATTTTAAAGTTATATATTCAGAAACATTTATAATCATGGAAGAACAAGTGACACAAGGAGAGATTAAAAACTAGCTTAACCAAAATAAATGCACCAGTAACTAAATGGAATAAATCCAAAGTTGGCAGCTTTTCAGAAAAGCATGAGTAAAGTTTGTGGTTTCTATGACAGCAGATACACAAGACTTATGTTTTACACAAATGTCTTTTTTTTTAAAAAAGCTCTTTCTCTTAAAAAAAAAAATGTAACTGCCAGATTGAAATAAAATCACTTCCTTAATACAATAGTATGTCAGGAGAACTACTGGTTTCAATGCTGGAAGGTGAAATTTCCTTAGCAAGTTTCCTAACATTCTCCGAGAACTCTGCATACCATCTGTGCACTTCTTTTTGATAATAAGAATTCTTTTCTTTTTAGTATTTTATTTAGCATTGGAAAAAAAAAAAAAGGGAAGTCACTTGATATATATAGGGAGAGGAGAAGTCACGTTGAGCAACAGACATCTGGGACAAGTTGTGGCTTTGTGAATCTCAGACTCTGATTCTATATGCATAAACCGAACAGTCACAAATAATTTTAATATCCTCCTTTATAATTATCCTTATCTAAAGTGTACTATATTAAATATTTCATTTAAAAAACATGGTTTTCTGGAAAAAGTCAGAAAGAAAATATTCATTAAATTCAAAATAAGCACCACCATTATTGTATAACATAAAGGAAAACTGGCCATGAGTATCACTGATACTAATCATTGTAAGCAAATATAGTATCATCTAATTATGGCAGAATAATAATGAATAACCAAACTGATAAGAAGATTTATCAGATTTGTATTCATGGTAGGTCAACACTGGCTGAATTACTCACTGTAAAAGTGAAATTTCAGTTGGCTCAGAGGAATTCATTAATGGGATTATTTAAATGCTAAACTCTGGGAATTATATTCCAAATACTGTGCAATTCTACTTACTCTTCTCAAACAAGAGACTTTTAGGTTAAAAATTTGTGATTGGGGGGGTGCCTGGGTGGCTCAGTCGTTAAGTGTCTGCGTTCGGCTCAGGTCAGGATCCCAGAGTCCTGGGATTGAGCCCCGTGTCGGGCTCCCTGCTCAGCGGGAAGCCTGCTTCTCCCTCTCCCACTCCCCTTGCTTGTGTTCTCTCTCTTGCTGTGTCTCTCTCTGTTAAATAAATAAATAAAATCTTTTTTAAAAAAAATTTGTGATTGGGGTACTTGGGTGGCTCAGTCAGTTGAGCATCTGACTCTTGATTTCTTCTTGGGTTATGATCTCAGGGTTGTGAGATTAGGTCCTCGGTGGGCTCCATGCTGGGCATGGAGCCTGCTTAAGATCTCCCTCCCTCTGCCCTACCTCCACCCCATCTAAAAAAAAAAAAATTGTTACACTTCTAATTCTTAAAAAAAATTTCAGCAATTCCATATATATCACGCAGTGCTCATCACAAGACACCTGAAACTAATATAACACTGTATGTTAACTATATTGTAATTAAAATAAAAGTTTAATTTTTAAAAAAAGCAAAAAAAAAAAAACCAAGCACCTACCTGTTAAGCATGTGTACTGGACAATAACTGGGACCACGACACACATATTTTAGATTTTAAAAAGACTACAGAGAGATGAAAAAAATGCAACTTCCAACTCTACAGCACTGAATGCCACAAAATGAAACTTTCTAAGGTGACAGCAATTACTTCATTTACAACCAGGAGTCCGAAAACAATAGAGAACTAAAATGAAATGTCTCTCTTTTTTTTTAAGATTTTATTTATTTGTCAGAGAGAGAGAACGAACACAAGCAGGATAACCGTAAGGCAGAGCAAGCAGAGGGAGAAGGAGACTCCCCACTGAGCAGGAAGCCCTGATGCAGGACTCGATCCCAGGACCCTGGGATCATGACCTGAGCCGAAGGCAACCACTTAACCAACTGAGCCACCCAGGCGTTCCTAAAATGAAACATCTTAAAACAAATGTCACATAATGAATTATTAAAGATGGGTTTGCTCAAATTTTTAAAAATTTTTTATTTTTTTGACAGAGAGTGAGAGAGCACAAGCAGGGGGAGCAGCAGAAGGGGAGGGAGAAACAGACTCCCCGCTGAGCAGGGAGACCGAAGTGGGGCTTGATCCCAGGACCGTGAGATCATGACCTGAGCCCAAGGCAGACGCCTAACCATCCGAGTCACCCAGATGCCCCATTTCTCAAATTCTTGAATGCTTTAGGAAAATACCCAAAACGGGGCTCAAAAGACCATTCATTGCTAAGGGAAACAAAATGTATCACGAAAGAAATAGTAGACTGTCATGCTGCTCTCACTATGAAAGCAATGAGCTATCTATTTATTATTTGCAGGCTGGGGAAGTAGCCGTTTATCAAGGTGGTGCCCAAGTGGAAGAAGATTAGGCTGGGGAGAGCCTGGCGACAGTGCCCTACAGCCTCGGTCTGACCCCCCCACTGTCACCAAGTCACTTTGAGTCTTAGGAACACCAAGTGGCTTGGATGGTTTGAAGAGCACATAACGGAGGACACCTTTGTGATCCTGAAGGCCAATCAGATATCTGATCAGAATGGGGGCTGGCAGCTTGGGGAATGGACTACGTTGTAATGAAAGAATGAACACAGCAAAGAAATTATACAGAGCACGTAAAGGAAGGAGAGAAGTGAGCAGACCCAAACTACCGACACGGGGCCCAGTCCCTCTCACCAGGAAACAAGAGTAAGTTGTGGTTACTCACTCAGTGTCTGCAGGGGAGGGCACGGTTATTTCCAAATCCTTCCCCTGCGACGTTATACACACCACCATGAATCCCTTCTGCAGTTTTCTTAGTCTTTCCCAAGGAAGAAATTAAAACGATATTCCATACACACGAATTATAAACTTATTTTTATATAAGTATGGGAGTGCAAATTTAAGTCATAAATGCAAAATAAAGCTCAACTTCATGTCTTAGATTTCTTTTGAAATATCTCATACACTCATTAGAGGTTAACAAAATGCTTAATAAAATAATATAGTGTAATTTAAAAGAGCGGCATGGGGGATGGGTGGGAGGAAGACATTCTAGCGCACAGGTGAGGCTGCCGCCCAGCCCGTCTGCTCAGCCCCCCTGCCCTCCCTGGCCACACACCCGACAATTCTCCTGCCACTTCCAGGCCACTTGACTTTCCATTTCGTCTTATTTTCCCCCTTGCATGACAGTGTCTCTTTACAAAACAAGGAGAATATCTCTCGTTATTTTTAGTAAGTCCAACTTCATTTTTTTGGTTGTTTTGTTCCTACTATGAGTTCGACTATTAAGGTGATTTTTAAAAAAACACTAACAAGAAACTCAGCTACAACTTTCACCAAAATTACCTTGAAAATGGAGACAAACTGGCCCCTTTGCATTAATAAGGGAGCAGCACGAGACAGAACTGACATAGTTAAATGAAATTTGGAGACAACTGAATATGACCCAAATCCAAACATGACTTTCTTCCTAAGAAGTTGCTTCAGAAAAGTGAGAGCAGTAGGGGGAGGGGAAATCACACTTACAAGTCCACTTATGGCTACAATCCAGATGTAGGAACCAGAGGTGAAAAGCTATAAAAGAAAAAAAAAAGGCAACTAAAAATGAAATTCAACCGCCAGTCACAGCATATTTTTGCTTTATAGAACTACAGTGATAACCACTGACATATGAATCATGTATCTCTTAATATAAACAAGAAAATTAATAAATATCAATTTTCTCACCCAAAGAAAATAATACATTATTTTTTTCTTCTTTTAACCAAGCTCTCAGCCTTCCCGTAGCCAAAAATAGACTGGCTGAATCTGGTCCACTCCCATGCAAAGAAAAATAAGTGAAATTCAAGCAGATTCTTCTTTACAAATGGACATTAATTGACTTAGAGTAAAATAGCACATACAAAGAAATTATCACAAAATATGCAGTCAAGCGTCCCATGCTTGGTGTTGAGTCATGACAAGTAATTGTAGTTTACATCATTCTCTCATGTTAATTTCTCATCCCTGCGACCCTAAAGTGAGCCGAGCAGACTTCTGCACGGAGGCAGGGCCATGCCCAGTGGTGCTCTGCTGACGCTCTCATTCTAGCTAACTCAGAGAGGTTCACCAACTGTTACTTAGCAAACTAAATAATGGTATCAAAGTTAATTAATGCAGAAGTAATTAGAATTAGGTTTCATAAAATCTCTCGCTTTGTTTTCTAAATCATTTACACATGAGAGTTGTGCTTGGGATAAAGAAAAAAAAAATCGTAAGACATTCAAAGTGTTCCTGAAAGAAAAAGATCTGGAGCCTACTGTTTGCTCATATTTAGATCTTTAGTCGGGAGTGTAAGGACTTCTGCTCCTAGAGAAAGAAGCAGGCCCAGAGGTTAACTGCAGATACTGCACTAGACGAAAACCTCGAAGTTCTGCACATTTATCAAGAATATGTATAAAAAGAACCATGAAAAGAAGGCAGATACAAAGGCAAGAGATGACAAAGCACGAGACGAAAGAGGCTGACAAATTTTGTTCTTAGTGCTACCTCACGTAGAAAGGAGCACTGGCTGCAAATACAAATTTAATCCTTGATCTAAAATTTAATCATTTTTAAAGAAAAGGTGGTGTATAGATATATAATGGAATATTACTCAGCTGTCAAAAATGAAATCTTTTATTATTATTATTATTAACATATATTATTTGTTTCTGGGGAACAGGTCTGTGATTCACCAGTCTTACACAATTCACAGTGCTCCCAGTAGCACATACCCTCCCCAGTGTCCATCACCCAGCCACACCCTCCCTCCCATCTCCCTCCCCTCCAGCAATCCTCAGTTTGTTTCCTGAAATTAAGAGTCTCTTATAGCTTGTCTCCATCTCTGGTTTCCACTTGTTTCATTTTTTCCTCTCTTTCCCTGTGATCCTCTGCCTTGTTTCTCAAATTCTACATATCAGTGAGATCATAACTGTCCTTCTCTCATTGACTTATTTCACTCAGCATAATACCCTCTAGTTCCATCCACGTTGTTGCAAATGACAAGATTTCATTTTGTTGATGGCTGTGTAATAGTCCATTGTATAGTATATACCTCACCTTCTTTATCCATTTATCTGTTGATGGACATCTGGGCTCTTTCCATAGTTTGGCTATTGTGGACATTGCTGCTATAAACATTCGGGTGCATGTGCCCCTTCGGATCACTACATTTGTATCTTTGGGGTAAGTACCCAGTAGTGTAATTGCTGGGTCATAGGGTAGCTCTATTTTCAGCTTTCTGAGGAACCTCTAGAGTTTTCCAGAGTGGCTGCATCAGCTTGCATTCCCACCAACAGTGTAGGAGGGTTCCCCTTTCTCTGCATCTTTGCCAGCATCTGTCATTTCCTGACTTGTTAATTTTAGCCATTCTGACTGGTGTGAGGTGATATCTCATTGTGGTTTTGATTTGTATTTCCCTGATGCTAAGTGATGTGGAGCACTTTTTCATGTGTCTGTTGGTCATGTGGATGTCTTCTTTGCAGAAGTATCTGTTCATATCTTCTGCCCATTTCTCGATTGGATTATTTGTTCCTTGGGTGTTCAGTTTGATAAATTCTCTATAGATTTTTAGATATTAGCCCTTTATCTGATATGTCATTTGCAAAAAAAAATGAAATCTTGCTATCCGCAATGACGTGAATGAACTAGAGGGTATTATACTAAGCAAAATAAATCAAATCATGGAAAGACAATTATATGATTTCATTCATATGTGGAATTTAGGAAACAAAACAGAGGAACATAAAGGAAAGGAGGAAAAAAAAAAAAACCAAGACATAATTGGAGAGGCAGACAAACCATAAAAGACTACTAACCACAGGCAACAAACTGAGGGCTGCTGGAGAGGAGGGGGATAGGGGGATGGGATAACTGGGTGATGGGCATTAAGGAGGGCACGTGATGTAATGAGCACTGGGTGTTATATACAACTGATGAATCACTGAACTCTACCTTTAAAACTAATAATACACTCTATGTTAATTTAATTTAAATTTTAAAAAATCAACCCTTTTACCTAACATGGATGCTTGCTGAGTATATACGACTCTGAAAATAACAAGGATGAGAATAATGTGGACAAACAGTTTTCTGTAGCCTTATTCTAAAAGTATAAGGAATAATAAAATAGCTAACACTTTCTTTTTGTTGTTTTGTTTCATTTTTGTTTTCAGCTAACACTTCCATGACACTTACTATGTGCCAAGCAGTGATCTTAACGCTTTTCGTATATTGAACAGAATCCTCCTAAACCCCCTACAAAGTAAGTTCTATTATGAACTCTATTTTAATCACGCAAACTGAGAGGTCAAGCGATTTGCTCAAGATCAGAGAGCTGGTGGGTGATGGCGCTGGGACTGTACCCATGCGGTCAGCCTCTGCAGTCCAGTGCTCGTGACCTCCATGTTTCCTACACAAGCAGGAAGAGCACATCATTAATTTCATCCATAAAAAGTTATTTCCATTGGACTCTTAAGTCCCTCATCTTATTGCATGTTTGGCCCCAACTGTGTCTGCTCGTGTTTTCAACAGTGTGTATGTCTTTTTCTCATTGCCGGGTTCCTTGAGGTCAGGTGCTACAACTCATTTCATGCTCCACAGCCCCTGGTTTCTCAAGCCATTAGATACCTTCCCAAACATTTCTGTTCTTCTGATAATAATTAAAATCACTCAATCATTCACTCATTCCCTCCTTCATTCATCCAATGTCCCTGGCATCAAAAAGCTGTTATGCAGGAGACAGAAAGGCACAGGAACATGTGTGAAGGTCCAGGGAGGACAGAGGTAGGGAAAGAATAGGGACTTTGAGAATGTGGGGTTCACATTCATTTCAAGGTGGGGAGGGGGTGGGAGTAGGTACTAGACAGGCAGAAAGAACCCTGGAGGCCACTCATGCTAAGAATTTCATATGTTATCAAGATGCCAAAGAGGCATCTCCACCCCCACTTTCTGATACCAGCTTCTACCTCACCAATAAATAAATAAATAAATAAATAAATAAATAAATAAAATTCACAATCTCAGAAAAACCAACAGTGGCAGCTAGAGAGACATGAATTAGTTAATAACAGGAACCGACTGACTTAGTTCTTACTATCTGTTTGGATTACCCTAACTATCTAATCCTTCCAGTGACCTAGTAAGACACACAGGGTTATCAGCCCTTTACAGATGGGCACATGGGAGCGCAGAAAAGTAATCAAGCAAACCACTACCAGAGCGAGCAATCAAATCAAAATGCACTTGGCACCGAAGACTTTCCACAGTACCACTCAATTCCCATGTCATAACAAATAAAACAACATGTTTCATTCTCTAAAGCTCTGTAACTTCAGAGTTGGCGGGAACTGGAGGGTCAACATGAGGCTCAACTTGACCTAAGGCCCAGGCTAGTGGGTGCCATGCTAGAACTAGAACTTGGGTGTCCTGCCCCTTGTCCAGAGGACTCTGCTACCGCTGCCTTCGGCCTTCTGCTGTAACATCTTCTCAGAAAGTAACCAAGCCACAGCAAATCCTAGTAATAAGAATGAACTGCAGAAAGAGGCTATTAGGTGACATGAGCACTCAGAAGGATAAGGGAGAGTTAACAGCATGCAGGTTGAGAGATGAAGAATAAACATTTCATGAGAAACAGTTGTAAAAGTGGCGAGGAAACACCCACCCCAGATGAGCCATTGATAACACCTGACAGCGTACTAGACGAGTTGGAGGAAATACCAAAGGTTAAAAGGGGAGGGAGGAGGGCATTTGACAGGTTAGTATCCGGTTTGATATGTGTGGGATAAGGAATGTTATGAGTATTCACAGTGGATCAAAAGGCCAAGCTACACATGGTACCACAGGAAACAGCAGAATAAAAGTTCACATCAAAAGCTCTGAGAGTGAAAGGAAAGTGACAAGTATCACAGGTAGAAAATGAAAATCACGTATCTTCTGTCACTTGGCCTGGAACTTGGCAGGGATAGGTCGATGGCACTGGGTATTGGTAAACAGAACCTTTTTCAATTTAAATCAAACAGTAAGAACTCTTCACGGTCTTCGTATCAAACCTCCTAGCAGATGGTCAGAGCGCCACTGTGCCCATGCGGCGCGGGAGTTATAAAGCGGGGAGGGCACACCTGGTTTCTTCTTCAGAGCTTTCATTGTGACGCTGTACTCAATAAAGTAATTTTGACAGTGATTTTCCACTTTCTACCTTTCAACTGTTCTCATTTGTTTCCACTTCATACTGTGATTTTGAAAAGTACTTACACGGAATTACACAATGCCATTAAAATATTTTCCACTGATACAAATTACAGTGAAAGCTCTTATCAGATTTCTAAAGACTGTGAAAGTATTCTAGTACTTTATATACCTTGATGTTCTTGTTCTGTAACACTTCCTTTGAACATCTGATACAGATCATAAAGCCAAACTTATGGGGAAAAAAAAAAAACACTGTTTTTAAGGACATCAAATGAGAAACAGATCCCTCCCCCCAAAAAAGATCGGGTTAAAGAGATGTGAACATAAAAATGCATACTGTACCTGTAGTCCCAATATGTAAATCAATGTCTTGTTTGTGATGGACAACGGGCCCAAAATTTGTGCGACTTGGATTCTTGGTATGGAGCAGTAAAATGGTATAAACAGAGCAAAGACAGGTGCCAGGCTACGCAAACAAATAAAAAAAAAAAAATCACTCTAGTCATACTCAATTTAAAATACCAAGAGCAAATAGATACTTGAAGTAATACTGGTTATAATTTTATTTCTGTCTGAAAGCATGATCTCAGATATAGAAGGTTTCTACACGTGCATCACATTGAAAATAATTTGTACTTATAGATAACATTTTTATGAAAACTCTAATTATCTAATACTTATTGACTTTCCCAAAACTACTGCAAAGTGGCTCAGCATCTACTAATTAACTGTCAGGCATTGTGAGAAAATTTAAAGTTGCTGCTATGTTTTCTTTCCACGAATGACTTAAATCTAATGAAAGAGTCTGTAACAAAAGCAACAAACATCATTCACCACGGTCACATACCAAGGCTCATCCCACGCTGTCCAACTTGATCACCGTAGCATCTGACACGCTTACCACCCTTGCCTTCCCTTCCTCAAACCCCTTCTTCCCCCCTGCCTTAAAACCTGTTCTTGGGCACCTGGGTGGCTCAGTCGGTTAAGCGACTGCCTTCAGCTCAGGTCATAATCCCGGAGTCCTGGGATTATGTCCCGAATCAGGCTCCCAGCTCCGCAGTGAGTCTGCTTCTCCCTGACCCCCACGCCCCACTCATGCTCTCTCTTACTCGCTCTCTCTCAAACAAATAAACAAAATCTTAAAAAAAAAAATATGTTCTTGCTGGTCCCCTAGACTTCTCCTGCCACTCTTCTTCTACCCTCTCCAGGGCCCCACTAGGGCTCTCCTTGCTCCAGTGTCTCCCTGCATCGCCCCAAGCCCTTCTCCAGTGTTGACTGTGAGATGGAAGTGAGTTCCCAAACTGTCTGACTGTCTCTCCCCTCATTATGAAACTCAATTTGATACCTTCAACTTGACTGATCCAAAAGTCACAAGTGTCTTTCTATTAAAGTCTTATTTCTTTTTAATCCATCTCTAAACCCCGCTGACACACAAAACACTACTCTGATCATGTCACATGCCTGTTTAAAACCCATCCTTCCACAGGCCCCCAGGATCCAAAGAGGAAATGTAAATATAAGCATGAAATAGCAAAGCCCTCCAGTCCTTTCTTATTAGTGTAGTCTCCCACACCTGTCTTCCGCTCCCTTCCCCCAATTTGGCCCCTCCCCCCACCTTTACTGCCTAAGCTTCTCCCTGGGCACATTAGGCTCTTTTAACTATTCACGGACACAAGTTATTCTTCCAACCTAAATGTCCTTCCACTTTTCTGCCTAGGAAATACCTACGGTGTATGACAGCTCAATTCTGTCCCACAGGCCATCACGCCAACTCCTCTGGGTGGCCAGAAGCTCCCTTCTTTGCCCTAAAGCCACCACAGTGTCACTGTGGGAGCAAATCAGTGAGTCCCTGGGCACTGTGTGCAAGGTGGCAGCCCAAGTTCAGGAGCTCATCTACGTCCATGCGCCAGGAGCAGTCTCTGATCTCAAGAAACCAGCTCCAGGACCACACACTCACGTTCCTGCCACGACCAGGCAGGCAGCAGGAATGAGGAGATCGGTCTGGACACACACTTGCACCAACTCTTCATTTGACACTCGGCTTCATGACTCAATCTATCTTTCATTTTCCCTTATTTATTTATTTATTTATTTTTGGTAAGGGGCACCAGTACATCTTCATCATAAGAAAAATGCAAGAAAGGTTCTTACTCCCATTTTTGTGGAAACACAAGACCCTCTTGTGCAAAATGTTCCCTCCTTTGATAAGGAACGTGTTATTAAAAAATCACTCCCTGTCCTCTCAATTCTGCTTCTAAAAACAAAACGAGAGCAAACATACACTACAAAGGTGAAAAATGGCAGCAGTGTCAGTAGCATCTGTAAGAATGCAGCAAATACCAGAATAGGGAAAACCCCAACCGGCAAACACTGAAGTGCCAGACACTGGGTAAGGACTGGAGACCCAGATGTGTGAGAAGCAATCTTTCTCAGTTTTGCACGAGAGATGACAGGGACAGGGCAGCCGAGGTATGTACCCAGCACGCCGGTTCGGCCTCACATGCCTCACTTGGCTGGCCCTCCTCCGAGGCCCAGTAGCGAGCAGAGCAGGGAAGGAAATGCATTCTTTTGGGCCCTCTGGCATGGGGTGCTCATTTAATGTGGGGCAATAAAATAATCCTTATTCTTGAAAAGGTGTATGGTCAGATTTTTTTTCCCCCCAAAATGGGATAGTACTTATGAGCAGAGCCTAGTGGCTGTAAGTCTAATCTTTTTTGTTATTTTTAATTTAAGCAAAATTAACATACAGTATTATGTTAGTTTCAGGCATACAATATAGGGATTCAACGCTCTTGTACATTACTCTGTGCTCGTCACAATAAATGTACTATTGTTCTTCCTAGGGTTAGGGTTAGAGTTAGTCTTAGGGGTAGGGTTAGGGACAGGGGTTAGGGGTTAGGGTATGCGCCTTGTGTCCTGCAGTTCAGATACCTCTCCAGAGAATAAAATCCCAGACTTCTGCTGAGGTGAGAACAGTCTGTGGCATCCATCCACCCAGCTGAGAAAAGGAGGGTTAAATAGATACTCAGTTGGTCTTTCTGTTTTCATGTCTACCTTCACACCCATTTTTCAGATATACTACCAATTCTTAACTGTTTCAGTGCTTCTCCAGGATAACTAGGTTGCTTCTCAGTTTTTCTTATGGTTTGTTCCAGAAGTCACTTTCTTAGCTCTTAGGGGAGGTGGTTTGGGGTTAGGGTTAGTGGTTAGGGTGTTTGCCTGGTATCCTGCATTTTGGAGACCTCTCCAGAGGCTTATGGTTAGTTCAGTATTAGCCTTAGGGTCAGGTGTTAGTTGTCAAGATTGTGCCTAGTATCCTACAGTTCAGAGACCTCTCCAGAGATTAAAACCCCAGACTTTTACTGGGGTAGGAACAGACATGGCAGCCATCTACTGATCTGAGGCAAGGAGGCAATCTGGTACTCTAAATACTCTTTGAATGGCTAGTTGATTGGTCCTTCCATTTTTATCTCTACCTTCACACCCAATAAAGGTACTCTTAATCTGTTTCACCCAACCCCATACCACCATCCCTACAGCAACCACCTGCCTGTTCTCTGAATTTAAGAGTCTCTTTTTCCAACATCTGTCCATCAGTCATTTGAAAATCATTTTTCCCACTTAAAATATCTTTATTTAATCTTCATTTTTGAATGATGATTTTGGTAATTTAATTTTTAAGTTTTTTATTATGTTCAGTTAGATGTTGGAAAATATCATGTACAGGTTGCAAGCATTATCTATGTCATAATAGTACTCGATTAACTTTGCTTTTAGAAGTAAAAAAATTAAGAATCTCTTTTTTCACTGGTCTTTGTTTTCTTTGTTCATTTTGTTTAATTCTACATATGAGTAAAATCATATGGTATTTGTCTTCCTCTAACTTATTTCACTTAGCATTTTACTCTATAGGTCTATCCATGACATTGCAAAGGGTAAGAGCTCATTCTTTTTTCATGGCTAATATTCCTGTGTATGTGTGTGTGCACGTGCACATGCACGCATGCAACATCTTTATCCATTCATCTATCAATGGACATTTGTGTTGCTTCCATATCTCGGCTATTACAAATACTGTTGCAATAAACATAAGGGGTGCATTTATCTTTTTGAATTAGTGTTTTCATTTTCTCTGGGTAAGTACCCAGCAGTGGAATTAATGGATCATAGTAATTCTATTTTTAGTTTTTTAGGGAACTTCCATACTGTTTTCCACAGTAGCTGCACCAATTTGCATTCCCGCCAACAGTGCACAGGGATTCTTTTTTTTTCCACCCACTTGCCAACACTTGTTATTTCTTATCTTTTTGATTGTAGTTATTCTGACAGATGTAAGATGATATCTCATTGAGGTTTTGATTTGCATGTTCCTAACGACCGAGCACTTTTTCATGTGTCTATCGGCTGTCTGTATGTCTTCTTTGGAAAAATGTCTGTTCAGATCCTCTGTCCATTTTTTAATCAAATTATTTGTGGGTTTTTTGGTGTTGTGATATAGATGTTCTTTGTATTTTTTGGAGGTTAACCCCTTATCAGATAAATCATTTGCAATATCTTCTCCCATTCAGTAGGCTGCCTTGTTGCTTCGTTGATGGTTTCCTTCACTGTGCAAAAACTCTTTATTTTGATGTAGTCCCAATAGTTTATTTTTGCTTTTGTTTCCCTTGCCTGCGTAGACATATCTAAAAAATGTTTCTATAGCCAATGTCAAAGAGATTACTGCCTATGTCTTCTTCGAGGAGGCTGATAGTTTCAGGTCTTACATATAGGTCTAATCCATTTTGAGCTTATTTTTATGATCACATTTTAACCAACTACAAGGTTTTAAAAAGTCTCTCATGAGAGGAGCATCTGCGTGGCTTAGTCAGTTGACCCTCCAACTTGTGATTTCGGCTCAGGCTGTGATCTCATGGGTCGTGATCTCATGGGTTGTGAGATCAAGGAGCCCTACACAAGGCTCCGTGCTCAGTGGGGAGTCTGCTTGAGATTCTTTCCCTGTGCCCCTCCCCCCACCTCTTTTCAAATAAATAAATCTTTATTTTTTTTAAAGATTTTATTTATTTATTTGACAGAGATCACAAGTAGGCAGAGAGGCAGGCAGAGAGAGAGGAGGAAGCAGGCTCCCTGTTGAGCAGAGAGCCCGATGCGGGGCTCGATCCCAGGACCCTGGGATCATGACCTGAGCCAAAGGCAGAGGCTTTAACCCACTGAGCCACCCAAGTGCCCCAAATCTTTATTTTTTTAAGGTTTTATTTATTTATTTGATAGACACAGAGAGAGAGAACACAAGCAGCGGGAGCAGCAGAGGGAGAGGGAGAAGCAGTCTCTCTGCTGAGCAGGGAGCCTGATGTGGGGCTGGATCTCAGGACTCTGGGATAATGACCCTGAGCCAAAGACAGACAGTAAATCAACTGAGCCACCCACGTGCCCCATAAATAAATCTTTTAAAAATAAGGTCTCCCAACA